GATAGTTCACCATAATAGAAAATTGAAAATCATTTACTCACCCTTATGCCGTTCCAAACTTTTATGACTTTCTTTCTCCTGTGGAACACAAAAGAAGATCTTTTAAAGAATGTTTCTACTGTTTTCATCCATACAATCCAAGTCAATGGGGTCCAAAACAACACTGAACCCCACTTACTTTCATTATCCACTCTTAAATATAGAGTAGAGTCCAAAATGATTTTTCTAATCTAAAGCAACTTTTTCAACTATAAAGAACCTTCTGGACAATGAAAAATTTCCATGGATGCTAAAGGTTCTTTTTGGAGCCATAGTTGCTGATAAAGGACCATTATTTTTAGCTACTCTCAGGATACTCTCACATTAAGGTTAGCTGATATCATTATAATCCCACCAGCTGCTGAGTTACTGGCAATTCAAATGCTATTAAATGCTAGTTTAAAAGTTAATGGACATCTGTCTCTCTGGGGTAAAATACTGTATATACACTTCCAAAGCTTCAACCATTCAAAAACGCACCTTGTAGGGGACACAATGAACTTTCAGCTGCAGTCATGTTTATGTTTGCATATGTAGAATGAACAACATGTTTTCAGAGGTTAATAGCCAAGTCTGAGATCAGAGCGTGCTGTTTGTCAGATAATGACCCTTTGAACCTTCCTTCCATTAGGAAGAGGGGAAGACAGATGCTGTTTTTGATCTGTGACATTTGCCAGAAGTGTAAACGTATGGAATGTATGAAACATATGGAGTGGGAAGCATAGACTGACGGATGTGGCTTATCCGTGCTCCCTCAAGAGTTTATGAAATACTTGTTCCAGACATTCATAAACTCTTGAGGGAGCACGGATAAGCCACATCCGTCAGTCTATGCTTCCCACTCCATATGTTTCATACATTCCATACGTTTACACTTCTGGCAAATGTCACAGATCAGTGTGTGTGTGATATATATATACACCTTGCTACGTGTACTGCGTTAGGCTAACCGAGACTTGTCATTTGCACTTCTATATTGTTGCTCTTTTGTTAGTTTTGACTGCTTTTATTGTCCTCATTTGTAAGTCGCTTTGGATAAAAGCGTCTGCTAAATGACTAAATGTAAATGTAAAGAAGAGACAGTATTAATCTGTATGATGGAGTTTGCGGAATGACATTGATTTAAGAGCATGTCAAATGTGCTGACTGAAGCATATTCAAAGCTTGCGTCATGCTTAAAGGGATAGTTCACCATAATAGAAAATTGAAAATCATTTACTCACCCTTATGCCGTTCCAAACTTTTATGACTTTCTTTCTCCTGTGGAACACAAAAGAAGATCTTTTAAAGAATGTTTCTACTGTTTTCATCCATACAATCCAAGTCAATGGGGTCCAAAACAACACTGAACCCCACTTACTTTCATTATCCACTCTTAAATATAGAGTAGAGTCCAAAATGATTTTTCTAATCTAAAGCAACTTTTTCAACTATAAAGAACCTTCTGGACAATGAAAAATTTCCATGGATGCTAAAGGTTCTTTTTGGAGCCATAGTTGCTGATAAAGGACCATTATTTTTAGCTACTCTCAGGATACTCTCACATTAAGGTTAGCTGATATCATTATAATCCCACCAGCTGCTGAGTTACTGGCAATTCAAATGCTATTAAATGCTAGTTTAAAAGTTAATGGACATCTGTCTCTCTGGGGTAAAATACTGTATATACACTTCCAAAGCTTCAACCATTCAAAAACGCACCTTGTAGGGGACACAATGAACTTTCAGCTGCAGTCATGTTTATGTTTGCATATGTAGAATGAACAACATGTTTTCAGAGGTTAATAGCCAAGTCTGAGATCAGAGCGTGCTGTTTGTCAGATAATGACCCTTTGAACCTTCCTTCCATTAGGAAGAGGGGAAGACAGATGCTGTTTTTGATCTGTGACATTTGCCAGAAGTGTAAACGTATGGAATGTATGAAACATATGGAGTGGGAAGCATAGACTGACGGATGTGGCTTATCCGTGCTCCCTCAAGAGTTTATGAATGTCTGGAACAAGTATTTCAATCAAAATTCATAGTTTAACAGATGCATAATACATAATGAAACCTTTACATTTCATTATATTACTTATTAATTTCTTACTATTTCTCCTCAAAGCCACAACAGATCTCCTTCTGAAGGTCAGAAAATGAAAGTTTATTATTTGGTGTAGGTGTTTGGGTAAATATGCGAGGAACTTTATAATTTAATATTATCCAGGATTAATATTCTGAAGACATTTACCATGACTTGAAAACTGTGCTCTGTGAATTTTAATAAAACGGCATGAAATTAAAGATAATTAGACAGCTGTGAATAGAAATATGAAAAGTTACCTGGGTTTCGCTTACATAATTGTCACAGTACTTTACATGTTTTAATCCTTTCATTTTGATAATAGGCCTACTGAGAAGAATGTTCATTTTCCATGCTGTATTTAGCACTAGCCTTGCATGGGCTAATTTCAATTCAGAATATGTTTTATTAGCTGCTCTGTGGTTATGGCTTAAGAATCGTCAGTGCAGAAAGCCATTGATTAAATTGGTATAAACTGTTAGTTTGTTGCTCAAATCCTTATTTGCTCTAAAAGAAGACTGTGACTATAGGAAGAAAAGGAGGAAAAGAGGAAGATTTATAGAGCATTCTCATTATTTCCCAACCTCTTTGACAGTACTTTAACTAGAAGTTGTCACTTTGACACGAATCCTTACGTATCTCTCATTAAATGAACTCAACAAATCCAGCCACTGAATCAACATATTATGACTCACTCATTGAACTGCACATTGCAAGTCAAAAGCATAATTTCAATATAGCCATTTTTATTTTTACACTTTACAATCATGTCTTTGTTCATGGTTTTACTAATTTTTTTAATTAAAATTGTAGCATTTACTGTTAAACGCCTTGATGGATTTGTTTCTTAAAAACATGCAGCTTTTCACTTCACAAAACATTAACTGATGGACTAGAGTCGTGTGGATTACTTGTGGATTATTGTGATGTTTTTATCAGCTGTTTGGACTCTCATTCTGACGGCACCCATTCACTGCAGAGGATCCATTGGTGAGCATGTGATGTAATGCTACATTTCTCCAAATCTGCTCTGATGAAAAAAACAAAGTCATCTACATTTTGGATGGCCTGAGGGTGAGTATATTTTCAGCAAATTTTTGGTTAAACTATTCCTTTAACTAATAACACTCATGACTGTTCACATGACTTAATCTCTTCCCCTTCTAATTTCAGTCTAAATCATCCATCATTATGTAGTCATCATCATTAAACTGCATTACCACAATTCCAAGCGATCCAATGCATGCATGTCTCAATTTGCATTGGTACCTGAATGGGATTTTTATGCTACATATAGATTGCATAACTCTCCTTATTGACATATTAGCCCTGCATCCTGATTCCTGCACCACAATGCAACATGAGTAGACTTCCTTTCGCTCGCTTAGAAAGAGTGAGATCATTCCGTTCACAAGAGTCCCAGGACTTCATCTGATGGATCAAACAATGACAAAAGGGGTTGAAAGTGTGTCGGTACCGGCCCTACGTTATTACATGTCGGTGCAGTTAATATCAAATATCCCTTTATTTTTGGGACTGCTACTACATGTTGACTTTTTTTAAATTAGAAAAGGTCAGAATGCTGTTCTACAATGCTGGAATGTAAATGAGAACGAGAGAGAAATTCTGTAGTGGCAGCATTAGTCTAATGTGCCTGTCTGTGTCCCGGCTATAAGGAGGTGCAATTATGATCTTATCTAGTAACAGCTTCCTACTGCTAGAAAAACACCTCTCGCCTGGGCTGATTCGTTTTCAGAAGGAAAGCAAGTGGCTTGACCCTTTTTATAGCTTGGCTGGTGGTGATTTGTCCAGGAAAGTGCCGGGGCACGATTATGGAACAACTGAATCGAGCATTGTGAAGTTTGCAAACAAACCGTATCTGACCAGGGGCCCTGTAATTGCCTAGTGCTGTCAGGCAGTGTTGTTGCATATTATTTTCCAGATGTTTGAGAAGTCTGCACTGACGTTTACATGAGTTTACACTCTTAAAAATAAAGCCTCCAAATGGGGGGTTTCGCAGCAATGCCATAGAACAATTTTTGGTTCCCAAAAAAACTAGTGAGCAGTTCATAAAAGAACCTTTTTTTTTTCTTAGTTTGAAGAACATTATTAGAATCTAAAGAGCCCTTTTCCACTATAAAGAGCTTTTGTGAAGTGGAAATGTTTCATGTGTAGCACATACAAGCACAAGTATGGTTCTAAGTTGGCTAAACATAAACAATATAAAAGAAGAGAAAAGTATGCAATTTATATAATTACTAATATAATTATATAATTTCTATAATTCCTAAAGTGATTAGTTATTCAAATGTGTTTAACTGTAAGCCACCTCACCATATACCAAAATGATTTTAAATTACTACATTTTACTGTAAAGCACTGCAAAAAGATTTTTTTTTTCACTGTACAGAATATGTAAAACATTGGTGTGAATATTGTTTTTTCATTAATAAAACATATTCCCAAAAGGGGCATTCACAAAATTATTTGCACAAACCTTTCTTTAGATTGTTTTTAAACTTTAATAACAATTTTTGCTATTAGCTAGGCTATGTGCATTGGGGTGTTTTATGATCATTTTATGGCATTATTGACATAGGGTCAATGTGCTCACCAATTATCTTACACTGTTTATTTCTCAAAAGGGAAAAAACGTTATCTCAAACGTTTGGACCCCTCTGTAACGTGTGATTCGCTATAAGCCCTAAAATTACCATGCGTAAAAGCGCCGCGCAAAGTCTGCCCTTGGGTAGGACCAAGAGGTTTTGCGCGGCGCTTTGTGTTTATCAAATAGTGACTTACAATTTAGAAATGCAGAGCCATTGGCTGTGCAGCCCTGTGACGTCACCGTTGTATTTGTCGCTCTGCTCCTTCTTTCAGTGAGCGCCTGTGTGCGCTGGGCTGGAGAGCAGAGCGCGGATGGAAGCGCTCCACACTGGACCTGAAGTTCTGAATGAACGCGCTTCATTTCTCCACACCATGGGAGACGGTTTACCGTCCGTAAACTACAGCAATGACTCTAAACGCGGCACGGTGGATCTTAACTTGTCAGAACAGTGGCTCGTGGGCATGGGAATCATCATGGTTCTGATAGTGTTCATCATTGTAGTGGGAAATATACTGGTTATAGTCGCCATAGCGAGGAATCAGAGGCTCCAGACGCTCACCAATGTTTTCATCGTGTCTCTGGCGTGCGCAGATCTCATCATGGGGTTACTGGTAGTGCCATTTGGTGCAGCCTTGGAGGTTAGAGGAGTCTGGATGTATGGATCGTTCTTCTGTGAATTCTGGATATCTGTTGATGTTCTTTGCGTCACGGCGAGCATCGAGACCCTGTGCGTAATTGCAATAGACAGGTATATCGCCATCATCTCTCCGTTTCGCTATCAAAGTCTTTTAACGAAAGAACGAGCCAAGGTGGTGATTTGTGGAGTGTGGGCTATATCAGCTCTGGTGTCATTTCCACCCATCCTAATGCACTGGTCCCGGGACAGCGAGGAGACAGCGTGCTATGACAATCCCGAGTGCTGTGACTTCATTACCAACCGTGCATATGCCATCTCCTCCTCTATTATATCGTTTTACATCCCTTTAATAGTCATGATATTCGTCTATGCCAGAGTGTATAGAGAAGCCAAAAAACAGCTGAACAAAATCAACAAATGTGAGGGAAGGTTCTACAACAATCATGGTACTAATTGCAAACCTAACCGAAAACGAACCACCAAGATCCTGGCTATAAAAGAGCAGAAGGCGCTGAAAACGTTGGGAATAATCATGGGAACGTTCACTCTCTGCTGGCTGCCGTTCTTCATCGTTAACGTGGTGCGGGTGTTTTGCGCACAAATGGTGGATAAGGAGCTCTTCGTGTTTTTGAACTGGCTGGGGTACGTGAACTCCGCCTTCAACCCCATCATATACTGTCGGAGTCCCGACTTCAGGAAAGCCTTCAAGAGGCTGTTGTGTTGTCCGAGGCAGGCGGACCGCAGGCTGCACGTGAGCTCGTGCGACCTGTCGCGCTGCACCGGGGGCTTTGGGAACTCAGTGGAGCAGAGCATGCTCGGGACCTGGTCGGACTGTAACGGCGCCAGCAGCGACTGCAGTCTGGAAAGAAACGGCAGGATGTCCCATTCAGAGTCTCAACTGTAGAAGTAAAACCGTGATTATTTAATCGATATTACTCGCGCAAGAGTGCTGTTTGTATTTCATATCAGGTAATGACGACCGCGCTGTGTGATATTGCTTGTTCGATAAACATTCAATGTGACGTGAAATGCGTTTCTGAGAAAAATGGCCAGTCGCACATTTCTTCTTCGTCAACGAAAATAGTTACAGAAAAAATGTCAAAGCGTTATTGTTGACTATCGCCAAGCAACGCAAAAAACTAAATATATGGGTGGGGCGGAGCACGTATCGATTTCCCCTCCCCCACCCAACGCCTTCTGTAATCACTTCGCTCAACTCCGGTTTTTACTCGAGCGATCGTGGATCGAAAAAAAATCGCGCACTTGCTCCGCTTCCACTTCGACCTGCTCCGCCATGAACACGAATAAGCGGAGTAATACAAACAGTGAAAAGTCCAAGTACCAAAATTCAGTACTTTTGAAAAGCAGCTCAGCCAATCCAATTCGAGGACCGGAACTAATTGTTGTATAAAATAGATTACAGGGCAACCGAAATTTTGCAGTGTCCAAACAACCAAAACGAGCCCATTTAATCCCATTTTCCCCAGCTAAATCAGCATATACATTTGGAGAAGGCATTGAAGCAAATTGCTAAATTGAAGCAAACTGAAAATTAGCAAATTGAAAAAAGCTTCTTTTTTTTTTTGCCCGGGATTGCTGTTAGTAAAACGAAATAAATTATAAACAACTATTCAGCATCATTTAATATTTTTACTACTCAGCAATTGTGCGGAACAGGTATTTCAAAGATAGGCTACATGCATATATTTCTTTGTTTCATTAAATGTAACAATATTCCTTAAAATTTATTGAAATTTATACAAATTTCTCAAGTGAATCAATCAGGTATTCAAAATGGGTTTCTTGCTATTTACAAATGTGTTCATTGACATGAAATAAAATGTAGTCTATATTGTGATGTGATTCATACAAGACATCCAAGTCATAAAAATACATGAATAATAGACCCATTAAATATCAGATATGTTTATCATTTACACAGAGGAGCAAACTAAAACTAAAAAGCTCTAAACTGACTGTTTAAACCAGCTGTTTAAAAATGATCACATTAGCCTACATCAAGTCTGCACCTTCATGAGAGCTCATGTAAAATATACACAAAAATAAAACTTTTCTAGATCAAGAAAACTTCCCTCAAGCTCAAAAGCAAATGCAGCCACAAATGTTAATGTGGGATTAAATGGGTTCAAAACATTTGGCAAGGGTTGAATTGTAAAAACTGACATCATTTTAAATACAAACCATTCAGTATTTAACAGTAATAAATGGCAGTTTGGCCGGATTGAAGCAGTGGTGCGTTGAAACAGTGTTTTTCATTCTTCATAGCAATGTTTTCAGGCTTTGAGCCTTAACATTGTTTATTGGAATGTTTAATTCTCGAATGTGTGATATTAAATCTTGTTTTACCTCATACCTGTATAATGTGCAAATTGTACAAGGAGGAAGTTGTTTATATTAAACAAATGTTAAAATGTACAGTATTTATTTGATGCATTGTACAGGATATACAAAAAAGCGTGGCAATGTGATAATGTTAAATATTACTTGTGATTTGCACCTTATTTGTGTCAAATGCGAGCTGCCCACGGGGCAATGAGCTTCTTGCATTTTCCATTCATTTTGAATTTCTACCAGTTATAAATGTTAGTTTGATTTATCTGTAAATGAGATGCACAGACATATTTTGGGGCAGGTTTTGTTATGAATATATTGTCCCAACTTCACATTTTTACAGAAATAATTTATGTATCAGTGCCTCATGTGAAGTATTGTACAAGATTCTTCATGTTGACGTCAAGTTGGCTAGCGCACAATAAAATGTGATATTGTGAAAAGGCACATTGCTTTTGTAATTACTTTATCATTTGTCATGAAGATCATCACCATCATCTGTTGGGATTTCGGTATGTTGTTTGTTTTTTTATGGCAAAATATTTCAGACGTACTTACTGAAATGAGGGATCGATTTTATGTCAACAGATCTTTAACTATTTTATTTACACAGTTGCGATTTACATCTCAATATGTGAATTACTCTCATCTGCAGTTGACCTTTTCAACATGGCTAATGTCTACCAAAGGCCTCCCATTAGAGTTTGCTTTAAAGGGGTCATATGATGCGATTTCAATTTTTCCTTTCTCTTTGGAGTGTTACAAGCTCTTGGTGCATAAAGAAGATCTGTAAAGTTGCAAAGACTAAAGTCTCAAATCCAAAGAAATATTCTTTCTCGGCATCACAGTATGTTAAGGGGCGTAACATTTCCGTCACACGCTTGAGGTATTCGGCCAATCACAACGCACTGGATAGCTGGCCAATCAGAGCACACCTCGCTTTTCAGACCGATGAACTTTGTAAAAATCGACGCGTTTCAGAAAGGCGGGGCATAGAGGAGAAACAATAATGTACAGTATGTGGAAAATAATGTTTTTTTTAACCTTAAACCGTGCTGTTAGTAAAACGAAATAAATTATAAACAACTATTCAGCATCATTTAATATTTTTACTACTCAGCAATTGTGCGGAACAGGTATTTCAAAGATAGGCTACATGCATATATTTCTTTGTTTCATTAAATGTAACAATATTCCTTAAAATTTATTGAAATTTATACAAATTTCTCAAGTGAATCAATCAGGTATTCAAAATGGGTTTCTTGCTATTTACAAATGTGTTCATTGACATGAAATAAAATGTAGTCTATATTGTGATGTGATTCATACAAGACATCCAAGTCATAAAAATACATGAATAATAGACCCATTAAATATCAGATATGTTTATCATTTACACAGAGGAGCAAACTAAAACTAAAAAGCTCTAAACTGACTGTTTAAACCAGCTGTTTAAAAATGATCACATTAGCCTACATCAAGTCTGCACCTTCATGAGAGCTCATGTAAAATATACACAAAAATAAAACTTTTCTAGATCAAGAAAACTTCCCTCAAGCTCAAAAGCAAATGCAGCCACAAATGTTAATGTGGGATTAAATGGGTTCAAAACATTTGGCAAGGGTTGAATTGTAAAAACTGACATCATTTTAAATACAAACCATTCAGTATTTAACAGTAATAAATGGCAGTTTGGCCGGATTGAAGCAGTGGTGCGTTGAAACAGTGTTTTTCATTCTTCATAGCAATGTTTTCAGGCTTTGAGCCTTAACATTGTTTATTGGAATGTTTAATTCTCGAATGTGTGATATTAAATCTTGTTTTACCTCATACCTGTATAATGTGCAAATTGTACAAGGAGGAAGTTGTTTATATTAAACAAATGTTAAAATGTACAGTATTTATTTGATGCATTGTACAGGATATACAAAAAAGCGTGGCAATGTGATAATGTTAAATATTACTTGTGATTTGCACCTTATTTGTGTCAAATGCGAGCTGCCCACGGGGCAATGAGCTTCTTGCATTTTCCATTCATTTTGAATTTCTACCAGTTATAAATGTTAGTTTGATTTATCTGTAAATGAGATGCACAGACATATTTTGGGGCAGGTTTTGTTATGAATATATTGTCCCAACTTCACATTTTTACAGAAATAATTTATGTATCAGTGCCTCATGTGAAGTATTGTACAAGATTCTTCATGTTGACGTCAAGTTGGCTAGCGCACAATAAAATGTGATATTGTGAAAAGGCACATTGCTTTTGTAATTACTTTATCATTTGTCATGAAGATCATCACCATCATCTGTTGGGATTTCGGTATGTTGTTTGTTTTTTTATGGCAAAATATTTCAGACGTACTTACTGAAATGAGGGATCGATTTTATGTCAACAGATCTTTAACTATTTTATTTACACAGTTGCGATTTACATCTCAATATGTGAATTACTCTCATCTGCAGTTGACCTTTTCAACATGGCTAATGTCTACCAAAGGCCTCCCATTAGAGTTTGCTTTAAAGGGGTCATATGATGCGATTTCAATTTTTCCTTTCTCTTTGGAGTGTTACAAGCTCTTGGTGCATAAAGAAGATCTGTAAAGTTGCAAAGACTAAAGTCTCAAATCCAAAGAAATATTCTTTCTCGGCATCACAGTATGTTAAGGGGCGTAACATTTCCGTCACACGCTTGAGGTATTCGGCCAATCACAACGCACTGGATAGCTGGCCAATCAGAGCACACCTCGCTTTTCAGACCGATGAACTTTGTAAAAATCGACGCGTTTCAGAAAGGCGGGGCATAGAGGAGAAACAATAATGTACAGTATGTGGAAAATAATGTTTTTTTTAACCTTAAACCGCACAAACACATTTCATTACACCAAATACACAAAATAATGTTCTTTTTAGCAAAATCATATGACCCCTTTAAATATTTATGTGCTGACCTCATTTAGTTTGATCTGATTGCTGCACTTGCATCACTGTTGGGTTTTCCACCATTTCAGACCACATTAGACTGTAAAAAATAACACGACACAGCATCATTTCACATGTGAAAACTAGCAGTATGTGTTGAGGTGCAGGTCCCTTGGTTAAGATTCGCATCACAATGTGAACACAAAGCGTTAGGAAATTCTCCTAATGGTATAATTTTCCGCATCATTGGAGTGTTAGCAAAGGCTTTAGGAAAATATGGAAATTCAAATTTTCTGCAGATCAACTTCAGTACATGGCAAAGAGCCATTGCGTAGGCTAAACTCAGATCAGTGCCTATTTTTAGCACTTCAAGATAACGTGCTCCGACACTCATATCAACCTTGGAGACCTCCTCAACCTCATGCCTTATGAGTACTTTGTTTAAAGTGAAGTCCAGCTTAAATCACAGTTAGCACTGATGGACAATAAGATGCAATTATGTGGTCAATTATTTCAGTATAGCCTGTTAGTGTGATTTTCTGGTTTAGTTTAGAAGATTTTTTTAATGTTTTTGAAATAAATCAAAAACTTAATAAATAATAATAAATAATTTCTGATCATTAAGGCTGCATGCATTTATTTGATTAAAAATACAGTAAAAATGGTAACATTGTGAAATACTATTACAATTTAAAATAACTTTTTAAAAACTGAATTTATTTCTGTGATGGCAAAGCTGTATTGTACACTAGTCTTCAGTGTCACATGATCCTTCAGAAATCATCCTAAAATGCTCATTTGAAGCTCCAGAAACTTTTTTCTGGAACAGTTTTTTTTTTCAGGATTTTCTGATGAATAGAAAGTTTAATAATAGAATGAATAGTTGAATGAATAGAAAGAACAGTGTTTATTTTGCATAAAAATGCTAACATATTTGACCTATTTTAACCTATTTTCTTTTAAATGCAGAGGCCCCAAACTTTAAAATGGTAATATATCATGGTTTCCACAAAAATATTATGCAGTACAAATAAAAAGAAATGTTACTTGAGCATCAAATCAATATATTACAATGATTTCTGAAGGATCATGTGACACTGAAGACTGTAATGGCTGAAGATTTAGTTTTGACATCACAGGAATAAATTACATTTTAAAATATATTAAATGGCATTTTAAAATTATTTATAATATATTACGTATAATACAATTTTACTTTTCCTCAATTTTAAAAATGATCTTTGTTCAATAAATAACAAAAAACAA